ATTCTTGTTACAGTTAATAATTCTTACACTAAGTTTACCTGCTAAAAGTACCATGTGGTTTCTCTCTCCTGACTGGACCCAGACTCCTGTAACACAGGTGGTCAGTGACTTTCTAAGTAGAAATTAGATATCCACCAAGGTTATAAAAATAGAAGACAGAAGCGGAAGGCTGAAAAATGTTTTGTCTCTGACTGGATGCTCCCTTCAGAAGCAGCTGAGTAAAAGCCAGGTTGGTGGTGCGAGGTGGGTGCGGAGGGATCCAAGGGAACACAATCTTCAGTTCATCTTTGTTTTTACCCAAAAAATAAACAAGCGAACAAAATGACCCTTTCTGAATAGGAGCTGTTAAAGTTTGGTTTTAAGGGGGTTTTGCTTAATGGTGTCCTGGGGACAAGGTTGCGGTAATGATGTTTTATCTGGAAAAGGTAAATTCTATGTGTAAGATTAAAAACACTGAATGCAATCAGTCTTGAGAAAATTCAACCGGAATGTTTGAAGAGACAACCCTCCTTTGCCTGGGCCAGCTGAGATCAAAGAGTGGAGGCTGGTGTTGAAGGGGGCTGGGAGATGGCCGTGTATCCTAAAACACCATAAACTGAAAGCAGTCAGTAACAAGACTCACACATGGGCACGCACGTCAGGGTTCCAGGGACACCAGCAAGCCCGGCCGGCCCCCGGCCCCTGCTGTGTGCGGCGTGCGAGCACAGAACATGGAGCAAAACCATAAAAACATGTATGGGAATTTAAGAAGTTTAAATTCAAGATACTGCTTCTCTGGTGAACAAAGAAAGAGATGAGAAAAAAATACGTAGGGGAACATTTACTGGAAATGCAACATTCTATTTTTTTAGGCAAAACAAAACAAAACCCTGAAGCGATATAGCATATTAAGACTTAGTGACAGATGTCATTATATTGTTCTGTTGTTGAGAGTGAAAAGTACATCATTAGGAAACATGGGCCTGCCTGGCTGGCTCAGGGGGTGGATCGTGCCACGTCTGATTTTGGGGTTGTGAGTTCGAGTCCCATGTTGGGTGCAGAGATTACCAAAAATAAACAAACTTAAAAAATAATAATAAAAATCTGAAAGAAAGAAAAGGAAGAAAGAAAAAAAAGAAAGAAAGAAGGGGCACCTGGGTGGCTCAGTCGGTAAAGCATCAGACTCTTGATCTCAATTTGGGTCTCCATCTCAGGGTTGTGAGTTCAAGCCCTACACTAGGTTTCACGCTGGGCAGAGAGCCTACATAAAATAAAATAAAATAAAATAAAATAAAATAAAATAAAATAAAATAAAATAAAATCTTAAAAAAAAAAAAAGATTTCTGGAGTGAAAGGCACAGTTTGCTGACCATTACTGGCAATGGCAAGTATCTGTTAGCAGTATGGTACTTAGCAGATATTCCAAAAGTACTCACACAACTGTCCTTTCAAGATAAAGAACATGTTTTTGTTGTTTTTTTTTTAATTTTTATAAAAGATTTTATTTATTTATTCAACAGAGATCACAAGTAGGCAGAGAGGCAGGCAGAGAGAGAGGGAGAAGCAGGCTCCCCACAGAGCAGAGAACCCAATGCGGGGCTTGATCCCAGGACCCTGAGATCATGACCTGAGCTGAAGGCAGAGGCTTAACCCACTGAGCCACCCAGGTGCCCCTAGAGAACATGTTTTAACCAAAGCTAGAAACTAGTTACTTTTTTTAAAAGAATCTGTGCTGAGTGCATTTTCAAAACTGACGTTTTCAACAGACTCTTGATTTCAGTTCAGGTCATGACCTCAGAATTGTGAGATCAAGCCCTACATCATGTTTCACACACGAGGCGTGGAGCCTGTTTAAGATGCTCTCTTTCTCTCCCTCTCCCTCTGTTCCTCATCCCCTCTAAAACAAAAAGCAAAAAACAAAATAAAAAACAAAAACTTATGTTTAGTAGTATTTCTACCTTATTTCATTTTGTTGCCGAAAAGATATAAAAGTGTCATGTACAAAAACTCTTACATCTATATGTCGGCAGATCTCAAACTGGTCCAGAGACCTGTAAGGGTCCCCAAGGCCCTTTCAGTAGATCCACGAGTTCAAAATTATTTTCATAATAATTCTCAGACACCATTTGCCTGTTCACTCTCATTTTCTCACAAGAGTCCAGCAGATTTTCCAGAGGCTACATAACATATGATGACAAGTGACAACATCACTGTCCTCACAGCTAATGGAATGTATGGTGATATTCTTATAATTTGAAATTTTCTCGGTAAGTTTTAATACATTAAATCCCAATAGACAAAGCCCACAAAAATGGAAGTTCTTTGGGGTTTCAATAACCTTTAAACTTACAAAGGAGTCCGGAGACCAAAAACTCTTAAGAATAGCTGCCTTACAATTTACTCTTCACATACTTTAAAGACTTAGTAATAAAGTGTCAATTGTGTTTCAATTAAAAAACAACAACAACAACAACAACAACTCAGGACGCCTGGGTGGCTCAGTCGGTTAAGTGTCTGCTTTCGGCTCAGGTCATGATCTCAAGGTCCTGGGATAGAGTCCCATGTCGGGCTCTCTGCTCAGTGGGGTGTCTGCTTCTCTCTCTGCCTACCACATACTCTCTCTGATAAATAAATAAAATCTTTTTTAAAAAATAAAATAAAATGGGGGAGCCTGGGTGGCTCAGTGTGTTAAAGCCTCTGCCTTCAGCTCTGGTCATGATCTCAGGGTCCTGGGATCAAGTCCTGTATTGGGCTCTCTGCTCAGCAGGGAGCCTGCTTCCTCCTCTCTCTCTGCCTGCCTCTCTGCCTACTTGTGATCTCTGTCTGTCAAATAAATAAATAAAATCTTTAAAAATAATAATAATCAGGGGTACCTGGGTGGCTCAGTGGGTTGAAGCCTCTGCCTTCAGCTCAGGTCATGATCCTGGGTTCCTGGGATCGAGCCCCGCATCAGGTTCTCTGCTTGGTGGGGAGCCTGCTTCCCCCTCTCTCTGCCTGCCTCTCTGCCTACTTGTGATCTTTGTCAGAGAAATAAGTAAAATCTTTTAAAAAAATAAAAATAAAAATAATCAAATCAAATAAAATCAAATCAAATCTCAGTGGCGGAGCACCTGGCTGGCTCAGTCCGAAGAACATGTGACTCTTGATCTCGCTCGGGCAGTGAGTTTGAGGCCCATATTGGGCGCCGAGATTACTTATATTAATTAACTAATTAATTAATTAATTAAAAAACTAAACAATGGAATTTTCTTTTCCTTTTTTTTATAATTTTTTTAAAGGCTTTATTTATATATTTGACACAGACAGAGAGAGTGAGAGCACAAGCCGGGGGGTGGGGGACAAAGAGAGAGAGGGAGAAGCAGGTTCTTCGCAGAGCAGGGAGCCTGATGCTGGACTCGATCCCAGGACCCCAGGATCATAACCTGAGCCAAAGGCAGATGCTTAACTGACTGAGCCACCCAGGGGTCCCGAATTTCTTTGTTTTTTATAAAAATTTTTAAGTAATCTCTATATGCAACATGGGGCTCGAACTCATGACCCACAAATCAAAGATCACACACTCCACCAACCGAGCCAGCCAGGTGCCCCAGTCATAGAATTTTTTAACCCATTCAACATATTTCAAACAAAAGGTTTCAGTGGGTGGGGCACCTGGGTGGCTCAATGGGTTAATAAGCCTCTGCCTTCAGCTCAGATCATGATCCCAGGGTCCTGGGATGGAGCCTCAAGTCGGGCTCTCTGCTCAGTGGAGAGCCTGCTTCCCCCTCTCTCTCTGCCTGCCTCGCTGCCTGCTTGTGATTTCTCTCTGTCAAATAAATAAATAAAATCTTAAAAAAAAAAAAAAAGGTTTCAGTGGGTTTTTAAGTCATGTCAAAAATACATAATGCCATCTTCCCGTGATTTTGTAAGAAAAACTGACATCAAGGAAAAGGAGAAAGGCACTGCCAAGTAGACAAATAATGAATGGTAAGACAAGACGACAGTAGATGACATTTAATCAGAGTAAAGTAAATTAAGTTGCACAAGAGCTCGGAGGGGAGGAACTCCCCATCAGTGGGGATGACCAGGGAGGAACCTAATGGAAAACAAGTCTGATTCAAGCCCCATTATCATCTTTAAAACCATGCTCAGAAGAAGACTGAAGAGGAGCAAAACTTCAGCGGGACACAGTCAACGATGACAGGCCAAAGCAGCATGTGCTCCAGCCGTACGTGCAGTGTGCACATCGGAGCAAAGCCGGGCCAGGAGTGTGTGCCCTTGTGCACGTGTGGCTTCTGGGTGGGGGCGGGAGCAGCAGAAGAGCCATATATAATTTGTTGGCATTTAAAGAATGTTTAAGTCGGTGTGCTATCCATATCGATGCTTCCCTTCTAGATCTCAGAATAATGCCCCATGCCTACCACTCCCAGATCAGCACTCACCAATCACTTAAGATATAGAAATAAAACCACAATGTGGGCGGTGGCTATCTCCAGGAGGTGGGACTGAAGGCTGAGGAGCACCTACCACGAACCCAGTAATATTCTAGACGTTAGAAATCTTAAAACTGTTATTTTTATCACAGGAGGCCCCTTATGTTATCTAATCGTGCTGGGCTTCCTATCTGTTTGTATCCCCAGAGCGGCAACCTTGCAAGGTAGGGATTTTTTACCCCATTTCACAGATTTGGAAACCAACAAGACATAAGGGGTTCTGCAGCTTGCCCAAGGTCATACTGCAGAAACCAGGGAAACCAGGATGGAAATCCTGGTCTGCGGACCCCTGGAAAGGGTGCTGTCCTCCACCCCCAGGAAAGACCCCAAGGCCCCACTCACATCACCACCCCTGTCTATCGGTGCCCTCCCTCCATTCACCTCACTCTCATCTCTCCCCAGACATGAACATTCTATGACTCTTGTGTAGCAGGGCATGGGACCACGGCTGCAAACCTCAGAACTTCCCCTGTCAGGGAAACGGGGCACCCACTGCTCTGCCTCCTCGACATGCAGTGACCCTCCTAAGGAACAAAGCTGATTTCCTACCTTCAAATCCTTCAGTGGCTCCTACTCCTCTGCAGGATAAAGCTCTGACTCCTGAACTCAAAAAGCCTTCACAAGGTGCCTTTCACAGCCTCCACACACCCCTTCTCTCTCCTGCCACTCAAGTGTCCTCAGGATGTAGCCACACTCGCTCATGTTTCTAGGCCATTACACACATCATTTCCTGTCAGGAAGCCTTTCAAACCCACATCCACCAAGCTAATAGCCAGTGATTCTTCAAGACCTAGGTTAGGTGTGAGCCTTTCTGGAAAACTGTTATTTATACTCCCAGTGTGATAGCAAGTCTCATTTTGGAGATCCCAAAGGACCCTCAAACACAGCCCTTGTGACAATGTATTTTAACTGCCGGCTTACTGGCTTCTGGTCCTACCAGACTATAGGCTCCTTTAGGCCAGTGCCATCCCTTTCTTAACTTACAATGCCATGACCTAGCACAGGGCCTTGCTAGGGCTGAAAACAGAGCAGAACAAAAGTTCATTTTTGCTCCCGGAGTGACATTACCGAGGCCACTATAAACAGCCCAAGCACCTAACAGCACCTGCTCAGTTAATAGGTGACTGGAGTGCCTTGTGTGATGGTGGACACAGACATACATACGACTAAGTAAAATAAAATATGACAAATGTGAAAATAAGAAAGGTATGGTAAGAATGCTATCCAAGGGGGCGCCTGGGTGGCTCAGTGGGTTAAGCCTTTGCCTTCGGCTCAGGTCATGATCTCAGGGTCCTGGGATCAAGCCCCGCATCAGGCTCTTTGCTCAGTGGGGAGCCTGCTTCTCTCTCCCTCTCTGCCTACTTGTGATCTCTGTCTATCAGATAAATAAATAATAAATAATCTTAAAAGAAAAAAAAAAGAATGCTATCCAAGGACAGGGAAAAAAAGGTAGGAAAATTTGAGGGAAGCCTTCTACTTACATTCCTAGGTTTGCTCAAAAGTGTTTTTCAAATCCTGCTGCTTCTGGTGGTGATACTCATGAACACAACTGCTTACTCCAAACCAGGTACTATGCAAAGCGCTTTACATAAACCAACTCTATTGATTCACCCTGCATATTTTACTGATAACGTCAGGCTCAAGAAGACACTTGGTCAATGTCAGACAATTAGTGGCGGAAACAAGATTTCAACCCAGATCTTATCTCCTGCACCAAAGCTCCAACCAACACTTTATGTTTCTATTCTTTATCAAAAGTGAAATCTCGGGGCGCCTGGGTGGCTCAGTGGGTTAAGCCGCTGCCTTCGGCTCAGGTCATAATCCCAGGGTCCTGGGATCGAGCCCCGCATCGGGCTCTCTGCACAGCGGGGAGCCTGCTTCCCTTCCTCTCTCTGCCTGCCTCTCTGCCTACTTGTGATCTCTGCCTGTCAAATAAAAAATAAATAAAATCTTTAAAAAAAAAAAAAGTGAAATCTCAGGGCGCCTGGGTTACTTAGTCAGTTAAGCATCCAACTCTTGGTTTCAGCTCAGGTCATGATCTCAGTGTCAGGAGATCGAACCCCGCATCAGGTTCTGCACTCAATGAGGAATCTGCTTGAGATTTTCTGTCCCTCCCCAACTCTCTCTCAAATAAATAAAATCTTTAAAGGAAAAAAAAAAAAAAAAGACTCTCCTCCCTGAAGTTTGATGGTCTCAAGGAAACCCAATTTAACCAATGTTAAACTAAGTTTTCTTCTTAGTTTAATTATATAAGTGAAAATGTACCTCCAGTTATTTCATTCCTCCTAGCTAAATTACTTAAATATAATTCAACTTTTCTGGGATGCCTCAGGACCATTCCTGTGTTCATTACTGAGGGCACTATAGAACAGTGATGCCTTTGGCATGACTCTGCTGGGACTAGAGTACACCAGCCTGCCCAAGTACCAGCAGCCCTGGCCTGTGGATGTGTACAGTGCCTGTCATGGAGTCCCAACTTCCCTATCCAGCTTCCTCCCATACCTAGCTAAAGATCCTATTTCTTGCTATTGTCAATATGCTCGTCTCTAGCAGGCCATCTGATTTTGCTACCTCCAATCTTCTATGGACTGTGGTACTCATAAGAGATGCATTAGTCCTTCCTGCTGCCCACCAATTAGATCTGGCTCTTTGCTTCCCAGGCACATGCTAAAGTTGCAATTCCCTGTTTTTTGTTTTTTTTTTTAAGATTTTATTTATTGGGGCGCCTGGGTGGCTCAGTGGGTTAAGCCGCTGCCTTCGGCTCAGGTCATGATCTCAGGGTCCTGGGATCGAGCCCCGCATCGGGCTCTCTGCTCAGCAGGGAGCCTGCTTCCTCCTCTCTGCCTGCCTCTCTGCCTGCTTGTGATCTCTCTCTGTCAAATAAATAAATAAAATCTTTAAAAAAAAAAAAAGATTTTATTTATTTATTGTTTGAGAGAGAGACAGCATGCGCAGGGGAGGAACTGAGGGAGAGGGACAAGCAGACCCTACGCTGAGCACAGAGCCCAATGCGGGGCTCAACCCCACAACCCTGAGATCATGCATGATCTGAGCTGAAATCAAGAGTTGGACATTTAACCAACTGAGCCACCCAGGTACCCCTCCCTGCTCTTCTTTAAAGTTAGGTTTGGCCATGTAACTTGCCTTAGGGGATGAAATGTGAACGAAAGTGACATATGCCATCCAGTGACCATGCCCCCTAACCACCATCTTTCACTCAGATCAAAATCATCACTGAAACACCATGTTCGGATTGAGTTTCCATCAGCCTGGGTCCCTGAGTGATTGTGAGGAGCACAGTTCCCTGGGCACTCCTGCTAGTGAGAAATCCTCTTTTGTTCTGTTAAGCCACTTAAGTCTTAATGGATTTTTGTTAATGCAGCCTAATCCAAGCCCTCCAGATCAATACATCAGATCATCAGATCTCTCTTTTAAGATTTTATTTTTGGGGGGTGCTGGGGTGGCTGAGTGGTTAAGCATCTGCCTTTGGCTCAGGTCACGATCTCAGGGTCCTGGGATCAAGCCCCTTGTTGGATTTCCTGCTCATCAGGAAGACTGCTTTTCCCTCTCCCACTCCCCCTGCTTGTGGTCCCTCTCTCACTGTGTCTCTGTCAAATAAATAAATAAAATCTTAAAAAAAAATTGTTTTGGGGGCAGCTGGGTGGCTCAGTTGATTAAGCAACTGCCTTCAGCTCAGGTCATGATCTGAGGGTCCTGGGATCGAGCCCCTCACCAGGTCCTTCTCCCTCATCTGCTTCTCCCTCTGCCCCTCCCCTCTGCTTATGCTCTCTCTCATAAATTAAAAAAAAAAAATCTAAAGATTTTATTTTTAAGTAATTTCTACATCCAATGTGGGGCTTGAACTCACAACCCAGAGATCAAGAGTTACAAGTCCCACTGACTGAGCCAGCCAGGCACCCCTCATCAGATCTCTTAATAAGGAATTCTCTCACATAAGTAACTTTCTTTACAGATTTTATGATGAACATTTTGTTTGTACAAAGAATTTTCTTTGCATCCATCTTGGTTTAAAGCTATGTTCAATATAAAACACACCTGTCAGGGGCGCCTGGGTGGCTTAGTTGGTTAAGCAACTGCCTTCGGCTCAGGTCATGATCCTGGAGTCCCTGGATGGAGTCCCACATTGGGCTCCCTGCTCAGCAGGGAGTCTGCTTCTCACTCTGACCCTCTCCCTTCTCATGCGCACTCACTCTCTCTCTCTCTCAAATAAATAAATAAATAAATCTTTGGGAAAAAAAAAAAACAAGCCTGTCAAGTACCTACTATGTACAAAACACTGTATTAGATGATGAAGACTGTCTATGCTCTGAACAAGTTCAGTTTTATAAAACTCCCATAGATGGGAGTTTTATAGTGCCCTCAGGAGGTAGCAAAATCAGATGGCCTGCTAGAGTCCGCATTTTTGGCACAGTTGTCAACATAAAATGTTTTAAAGGAGAGACAAGTCCCATCTAGATGGGAAGAAAAGTACAGGGAAGTTTCACAAAGGACCTTCCCTAGCACATGGCCCTGAACATGGGTCAGAACCAATAATTAGAGATTCAAGGGGGTCATTTAAGATAGAAAAAGCAACATCAACAAAGATATGAAGCACAAACAGCAAAGTGCAAAGAGCAAACAGTTCTACTGACCTGGAAAAAATAACAAAATCTAAGGGAATGCAAGAAATTAATTTACCCCTAGTGTCTCTGCCAGTCTGTTCTGCGCTTAATTTCAACAGACAATGGGGAGCTGTTAAAAGTCTTGACTAGGGAAGTGAGATACCTGGCAGTGAGAGAGCAGTACACAGCATAGATGGGGGGGGGGGGGGGGGTTGGGGGGGGAGTTCCTACAATAACTCAACGGCATGGTATCAATGACCCCAAATAAGCCTGATGACAGCAGAAATGGAAAGCAGCAGATGATAAAAACAGCGGGGAGTCTAGCCGCAAGACCTGGCAACAAAGTGAACACAAGGGGAGAGAAGGAAGGTAAGAAGGCATCTAGAGGCCCAAATCCTCGATCTCAGTAGTCACAAGGACTGTCCGTACACACAGCTGGGATTAATCAGAAAAGTGACAAGAATGAACAAAGTGCTACTATTTTTCTAAAGGCTGGCTGGAGTTACATGCTTCTACCTTTTTATCCTTTGCTCTGCCTGAGACAAAGTTACTTCTCCATCTGATGCCACCCGCCTACCTTTTTGATACAAACTTACCTCCCAGTTTCTCTAACAAGAACCTCCTGGAATCACCCATGAGCATTTCCGGTTCTCCCCTGCCCCCTGACCATCCTTTCTTGTATCTTCCCTTCTTCTTATTCTTCATCCCCCAGGCTTACCCAGTCATGGCTTAAGGCAAGCATCAGCTTCCCTGTGAAACCTTTCTCAAACATATGGGTTTCTTCTCTTCCCAGATTCTCCTACCTACTGTCTAGGAATTCTAGAAGCAATATGACCAGTTATCAGTGTCCTGTGTGCCCAGTTTTCCCACAACTATCTCTTAGGCTAATCAGAACAAGTCTCTTACCTTACAGGTCTTCAGTTCCCCCACATTCTTACTGACTTGCACATAATATGTATTCATGAGACACTACTGATGATCCAAAGTCAATTACTCTAAGAACACGCACGTCTTATTCCCTCTTTAATAATTTACTTTTATTTAACCACGACCACACACGT